TTTCTAGTCCTTTGGGAAATTGAGCAAAATTCCCAAGTCTGTTCAAATCAAGAGAGCATGACAGCCTACCTGGCAAAGAAATTATCCGAGGTCCATCTATTAAAACCTTTCTTAGTGTCAGCAATTTCTAAAACATGCACAAACAACTGGGTATGCACGGACATACCTATGCATAGAGTCACATACATGCATGGATACACACATACACACCACATACACATACAATCTAGCTAATGAAATCTGGAAGTACTTCCATAACTTTCCCTTTTGGCTAGAGTCATGAGTCTCCAGGTTTCATGATAAAAATTCTAACTAGGATTCAGCTAAATATACGAAACCAGAAAGAAATGTCCATATGACAGACAGCTATGATGTCCAGTGGAAATAATATAAAATCTTTGGTCCTTTAAAGACTGATTCTCTTTATACAAGAACCAAGAGATCTGGACCATAATCTCAATTCTAGCCTCATGACTTTGGGCAAGGCATTTAAGCTCTTGGTATTGAACTTATATACTAATATATATGTATATATTATACATACACACACACACACACACACACACACACACACACACACACATACTAGAGGCCCAATGCATGAAATTCACGCAAGAGTAGGCCTTCCTCCCCCCAGCTGCTGGCACCGGCTTCCCTCTGGCATCTGGGACCTGGGGCTTCCCTCACAGAGCCCCGGCTCTCTGCTAGGTCATCCAGAAGGATGTCTAGTCTAATTTGTATATTATGCTTTTATTATTATAGATTTTATTATATTATTTATTATATTATATTTGTGTTTATATTTCATACAATTTCATATTTCCTAATGTGCCATTTTTAATGTTGGTTTTAAAAATAGTGTTCTACATAAATTTCCTGTTTTCTTATTTTTCCTCCTTTTTGTTTGCATTTAAGATATTTCATTTCAGTTTTCTCTATTTCAGCCATCCTATAATGTATCACCAAATCTCTAGTTCATTTCATTTGATAGCCAAACACTTCATGTTTTTTACAGCTGTATAGTATTTTATTGTGTAAATGTACCATAGCTTAAAAAAAATTGTTTTTCTTGATTTCGGAGAGTAAGGAAGAGGGAGAGAGAAACATCAATGATGAGAGAGAATCATTCATCAGCTGCCTCTTGCATGCCCCCTATTAGGGATCGAACCCAAAACCCGGGCATGAGCCCTGACTGGGAATCTAACTGTGACTTCCTAGTTCAGAGGTCGATGCTCAGCCACTCAGCCACACCAGCTGAGCCAAACATATTACATTTCATAAAATGTTTGTGAGACTACTCTTCACAGGTTAAGCTAGTGTTATGCTTTCAAATAATCATGAAGACTTTTAGTGTCCTTCATTCACTGAAAATAAGACATACCATCATAATTTGGGGGCCTGAGGAGTTACCACCTGTAGAGCTCCCTGTTTTAAGTCTTTAGAGAATATATTTTCTCCAGGTGATAGAGTAGGCAGTTAGATAGGCATGAGCAGAGCAGGAACAATAGGCCAGGTATGGAATGCCACCAAAGCCAAAAGTCCTGGGAGCCTAGCAATGGGCAAAACTGGGAAAATAAGTATTATAGTCTAGAACAGCCGTGGGCAAACTACGGCCCTCGGGCCAGATCCGGCCCGTTTGAAATGAATAAAACTAAAAAAAAAAAAAAAAGACCGTACCCTTTTATGTAATGATGTTTACTTTGAATTTATATTAGTTCACACAAACACTCCATCCATGCTTTCGTTCCGGCCCTCCGGTCCAGTTTAAGAACCCATTGTGGCCCTCGAGTCAAAAAGTTTGCCCACCCCTGGTCTAGTACCTTACCCACAGAGTGACTTCTCCTCCCCTAGAATGTTGCGAGTCATGTAGTTCAGACACCCTTAGAGAAGGAACAAAGAGCTGGAGAATAGTCTTATAGACTTCCATACAAGCCTGTGCACCACCACTCCCCTACGCATTAAGTCCTCAGGACAATGAGGTTCTGGTCAGCATCAAATAACCTTAGGAATAAAGCCTCTGGTCTGTTGACCACAGAGACAGAGTTTTGATCAAACTAGAGATAACAACTGGGCCTCAGTTGTATTTCAGCTCCAGGCCCAGAGAAACAGCAAGGCCAGGTGGGGTGATGCCATTGCTGATATCAGGACCAGCTGTGATGACTGATAACCTGCCTTGGTACTGGCCAATCAGAGACCGTGACCCTGAAAGGACACGCCTGGAAAACTGATGAATATTCTATTGAGATCATCTCTTGAGGCCTCCCCTGAAATTCCTGCCTTTAGAAAACAGATAAAAACCCTCAAGGCAAGGGACTGAGGGTGCACTCTTCTCTCTCTCTCTCTCTCTCTCTCTCTCTCTCTCTCTCTCTCTCAAAAGCTCTTCACTTTCACCCCTTTTTCCCCTCAGGCATGTACCTTTGCTTTCTTTTTCCTAAGCTCCAAAGGCCCTTCTTTTGCCTCTGGAACTTATTTCCTGAGTCCATGCAGCCCAACTGGTTCACTTCTTCTACCTCTGTGACTTTCTAAATAAACTGGCATTAAAGTTCTTGGCTCTAAATGCTTTCTCAGCTGAATTCAAGGATAGAGGCGCACTCTGCCATTAACACAGGCACGATATTTTCAGTTCTTACGAAACTGCCTGGTTGCTTGGATATCCCTTCACCCAGATGGGAGAAAATCACCAAATAACTCTTTCATAATCTCAGTTCCAGAACTCACAAATAGAATAATCAATATGAAAATTCTGATGACTGGCTCTGCTCTTTGTTGGCATTATGTTAGCCTTTAAAAAAAATTTAAACCTATTTCTCTTTTGACCTTTTTCCATCAATAAAGAAATTAACAAAACAAAACAAATAAAAGCTCAATAAAATACCCAACAAAAGAAAATTATTTGTGAAAGTAATAAAGAATGTGGCTAATCCTTACAAAGTCTGCACAAATGGCCTTGGACAAATTACAAAATAATTCTGAAATGTTGTCATTATAATTAGATTGAAAGGAGTTGCTCCAGGTGCCTGCTGCTCCTGCAGGTAAGTACTCTCCTCATTCTGCTGAATCATCAGGCCCAAGTGAACACTGGAACTTTGCCCTGGATTGAAAGGTGTAAAGGTGAAAGCAAATTTCAACAGTCTCACTGATCTTTCCCTGTGCTAAAGGGCAGAATCCTTTTGCAAAACCAGTTAATCTAAAATCAGGGGATTTATTCCAACTCATAGTTGGAGTGATTCTATCAGTAATTCTTTTGACACACAGGATCCTGTGAACTGATTACCATCTACACAGTCTGTGCTGTTAATGCCAAACCAGGCTTGAATTAACCAACAGTCCAAATTAATCAATAGTATTACTTTGGTAACAAGCAATCATACATTTATTTTATTTTTCCTTTATTTTAGAGAGAGAAGAAGGGAAAGGGAGAGACAGAGAGAGAAACATCGATGGGAGAGAGAAACATCAACCCATTGCCTCCCATATCTACCCCAACCAGGGATCAAAACCACAGCCTGGGTATGTGGCCCTGACTGGGAATTGAACTCTCAACCCTTCAGTGCACAGGATGACATTCCAACCAATTGAGCCACACTGGCCAGGGCAGGCAATCATACATTCACTTATTATCTCATTTCTCCAGCATGAGTACAGAGCTAGTGTTCTCAAGTTGGGATGCAAATCAAAATAAGAGAGCAGCTTTAAAACACTCCACATCCTCAAGTATTTTTGAGTTCCACTCTTTGTGATTGAAGACTGTTACTGAGCAGATGGCTTAATGACGCTGAGCCCACAGCCTAAGAAATTGCACATTGCAAGCATCTTTTTTCATTCCACAATGTGTTTTAAAAGGTTAGCAGATGCAGGGGCTGGTTGTAAATAGGGAATGAATCTAAGAATTATGAAAACCCACATATACTGACTTTGGAACGACAAGAGTGGAGAGAGAAACGGGGTTTGAGAAAACAATGGTCAAAAGTAACCAGATTCTTATCTGTTGGGGCCCAAGGGAATAGGGCACAAGACTGGGAGTCCGAAGCATGGTCTGGGTCCAATGGCTCTGGGCAAGTTACTTTACCTCCTGCTTTTTAACACTGTCCTCATCTACAATACTGGAGTAAAGGGTGCTCGTCCGTCTACTTACGGATTTAATGAACGTCTGTTACGATGCTTCACAGAGTGCAGCCACAAAATTATGAAAAAAAGCATATATGTTAATAACTCATGTAAATAACCTAGAACAGCCCTAACCGATTTGGCTCAGTGGATAGAGCATCGGCCTGCGGACTGAAGGGTCCCAGTTTGGTTCCGGTCAAGGGCATGTACCTTGGTTGCCGGCACATGCCCAGTAGGGAGTGTGCAGGAGGCAGGTGATCGATGTTTCTCTCTCATGGATATTTCTAACTCTCTATCCCTCTCCCTTCCTCTCTGTAAAAAAAAAAAAAAAAATCAATAAAATATATTCAAAAAACAAAACAAAACAAAAACCTAGAACACAGGGGATGAGAAAGCAGGACTACAAGACCCAGCAACCACTTTGCCTAACCCTAGAACCCGCCCTGGTCCCAGCAGCCTTTGCGGAGGGGGCGGGGCCAGGAGCGCGCGCCGCGCCGCGCCACACCCCCTCCCCCGCCCTCCTTCGCCGGGACTACGCGGGTCCAAATCGGCTTGGGAGCACCGGTCCTTGGGGGGGAGGCCTCCGAGTTCCGGTTTCTTACCTGCTCGGCACAGGCCGCAGCCTCCCGATAGCCCTGCCTTCCAACAGCGACCCCGCGAATGGAGGGACGTACAGAAGGTCCCAGTCGGAGAGGGCATGTAGCAATACTCACGCTTCCCCCAGAGCGCGGACTAACTTCGGCCCCGCCTCTTCCGCCCGGCTACTTAATGCTGCGGGTTGCCCTCCTCCTGTCAGTCAGAAGAGGTGCAGGCCGCTCCTGGTCCGCTTTGGGGACAGTGTTGAACTTCGAGGTGGAAGATGTCGGAAAGTAACTTAGGCGACGCAAGCGAGGAACAGGTGTCTGGCGCTGCAGTCCTCGCCCGGGCCCTGAAAGCGCAAGTACGAGGGACCACCCTGAGGGGACGGGCTCCTACGGGAGCCGGCGAGGGCCGAGCTGTGTTGGGGGCCGGTATTGCCGCGGGGGCGGGGGGTGTAATTGGGAATGAGGGAGGGAGGTCCGGAGGGAACCGTGTGGCGGGAGTCCGTGCATTTACCCGCCCCCGTTCTTGCCCCCCTCCCCAGGATGTGAAGTACATGTTTGGCATCGTGGGCATCCCAGTGACCGAAATCGCCATCGCCGCCCAGCAGCTGGGCATTAGATACGTGGGGATGAGGAATGAGCAGGCGGTAAGTGCGGACGCTGGGAGCCTGGGGCACAGGGTTAATGATTAATAATAAAGGCAAATACTCGTGGCAGACCCTCGGTGCTTACGGCGATTCCAGCACGTGACCCGTGTCAATCACAACCATTTCACGAGGCAGGAACCGTGAGCCCGAGTTGACAGGTGAGAACAGTGAGGAAGGCGCGGAGAGGTTAAGTAACGGGCCCGAGATGACAGCTGTTACGGCGGAGTCGGGATTTGAACCCAGGAATCCTGGGTCTGGATTCCTTGCACTTAACCCTACTATACGCTCCAGTGCTCTGCGAATGAAATGTGCCAGCATTGGGACAGTTTCCATGCCCGAGTCTGGGTCCCCTGCCCTTCACTCGCATAACTACCTGTTACATGTTTATTTCTGTGTGTTCTTTCACTGGGTCTGGTTTCCCTCTGAGCCTGTGAGCTCCAGGAGGGCAGGGGTATCATCTCTTCCTGACACATCTGCATCCCCTAGGGCCGTGGTCAGCATACTGCGGCTCGAGAGCCACATGCGGCTCTTTGGCCCCTTGAGTGTGGCCAAGAAGTTTCAATCCCTGCACTGCAAGATGACACCATCGCAGATGGCCCAGCGTGATTAGAACTCAGGTGGGCAGGCCAATGCATGCCCACCGCACCCCGCTGCCACCGTTCTTAGAGGCTTATTTGGAAGCATGAGAAAAGAAGCTAGGACGTTTTGTCAGTCCAGTCCCGGTTCTTCCTCTGCCAGCTCAGCTTCACCCCTTCTCTCAGAAATGCTGGTTTCTAGATCAAGAATCTACTTCTGAGGGGGGTGAGGACATGAGTGGGAGGGGGAATGGGGGGGTAATGGGGGGATAAGGACACATGTAATACCTTAATCAATAAAGAAATTTAAAAAAGAATCTACTTCTGCAACGTCAGTCACCTAAAGCTAACTAGTCCTGCTTTCCACTCCCGCTGCTGCCCTCTAACTCAGGCGCTTGCCACCTCTTTCCCAGACAGGAACCTTGATCTCCTTAAAGTGGGGCCCTTCCTCTGCCCTCGGATTTGAGTTCCTGCAAAGCAGGAATCGTGGTTCATTTCTCTGTCCTCGTAGTACCTGGCTTGGTTAGGGCTTTGGCATGATGTGGCTGCCTAGTACATTTTTATTCATTGAATGACATTCCTTACCTATAAGACTTGAGAATTATGGTGCGTTTTTAAATCTTAAAACGAATAGGTCTTGAGTTTGTGTTGCTTCTACCTTCTACTTTTCTTAGTTGGAATAACATTCTATTTTTTCATCTGTGTGAGAAGATGGAGCTAACTACCTATTAATAGGACTTATATTTTACTGTTTTTTCTAGTGGAGGGATGTCTAGTTTCTTTACACAACACATATTTATTGAGTGTGTACTGTATACCAAGTGCTGTGTTACTTACCCTTGGGAGATACAATGAAGCACTGAAGTTTAGTCTTGATCTTCAAGTTGATCACAGTCTGGGAAGGTGAGAGCAAGAGACACTGAAAACATTTATCTAGTATAGTAACTTAGAATAGATATATGTATAATAGACAGAACACATAGAGGGTGACCAGCTCTCTTTGAGTAGGACAGAGAAGATTACCTGTGGAAGCAATGCTAGTTCATACTGGTCCATCAAGATAGCTTAAAGGCGTGATGGCCTGTTGTAAGCCTGGATATGGAGGCTCAGGGGAGGCTGTAGAGAGTCTCTAGTTGGAAAAGGAGTGTGGGATTTTTTCAGTAGGCACTAGGTGAGACTGTAAAGATTTTTATAAATAGGTGGATAACATAGTTAGATTTGTACTTCAGAAAGATAAGTTTGTGGCAGTGTAGAGTATGTATCAGAAAGGCAGCTTGAGCCCAGCTGGTGTGGGTCAGTGGTTGAGCGTAATCCTGTGAACCAAGAGATCATAATTCGATTCTGGTCAGGGCACATGCCCACGTTAGGGGCTTGATCCCCGGCGGGGGACGTGCAGGAGGCAGCCAATCAATGATTCTCTCACGTCATTGGTGTTTCTCCCTCTCCCTCTCCCATTCTCCTTCTCTCTGTGCTCTGAAGTCAATAAAAAAAGAAAAAAAAGAAAGGCAGCTTCAAGCTTTATTAGTCCCCATAAGCTTAGTTGCAGGCCTCCTTAGGTCCCAGGTACTTTGTTGGACACTGGATATGGAGATGGACAGTTCCTGTCCTTGAGGGGCTTATAACCTGGCTGTGGAGATAGACACAAACAAACCGTTTTACAATTATGTGGTAAGTACTGTGACTGAGATATACCCAGGGTGCTGTGGAAGTCCAGGAAACGATACCCTGTCAGCCTAAGATTTCCGAGGTTTCCTGGGGGAGAGGATGCCAAGCTGTCGTGAAGGATGAATGGATATTAACCAGCTAGGAAGGGGAGGACAGGCTCTTCTGGGGGGTGATTCCTAGGTTTGGGCTTGCTTGACTGACTAGGTGGATCATCGTGCCACTGACTCAGATGGAGAATAGAGAGGGAAGAGCTAATTTGAAGAGAAAAGGTAGTGAGTCCCAATTTGGACATAATTAGTTTGAGATGCCTGTAGGACATTCCCAATGCATGTGCCCCTCAGTCAACCTGACTTTTTGCAGCAGTCAAAGGAAGACTTAACTAGAGAATGTGAGAACAAAAATACAGATTACTAGGATCACGAATGGAAAAGGAGACATCACTGTGGACCAATGTGTTGAAGAAGAAATCACAATGGAAATTTTGAATTGAATGATAATGAAAAAATGCCATTGCCAGCCCAGCCAGTGCACCAAAAAGTCACCAGTTCAATTTCTGGTCAAGGCAGATGCCTGGGTTGCAGGCTACATCCCCTGCAGGCAGCCAATCCATGATGCTCTCTCATTGATGTTTCTTTCTCTCCCTTCCGCTCTCTATAAAATCAATGAAAATATATATTAAAAATGTGATACCAAACTTGTGATAGCTAAAGCAGTTCTTAGAGGAAATAGTTTCAAATGAATCTATTAGTAAAGTAAATCAAAAACCAATGCTTGTAAGTTTACATTTTAAGCTAGAAAAAGAAAACCAAATTAAACTCCAAATTAAAGGAGTAAAATAATAAATAAAAGAGCAAAAATAAATTAAATAGAAAACAAATGAATAACAAAAATCAGTGAAGTCAAAAATTGGTTCTTTGAAAAGATTAATAAATTTGATAAATCCCTAGGAAGACTGATGAAGAATAAAAGAGAAAAAAACACAAAAATACTGATATTAGGAATAAAAGGCACATTCCTATTGATTCTGAAGATATTTAAGCAATTGTAAGAGGATATATTTTTCATTACCTAGGAGTTTTATTTTATACTTATTAAAATCTACTTAGACATATTTAAGCATGAATTTTTTTATCGCACTTGTATATACATAAAAAGGAAAATAAAAGCAGAAATTGATTAAGTATTCCTAAAATTTCTTTTCATTTAGAGCCCTGGTTCTCTGAATCACTTTGTATACTTATATATGTATGTATTTTTTAATTGTGGTTAAAAAATCATATAAAATTTACCATCTTAACCATTATTAAATGCACGGCTCTTAACCATTTTTGAAGTGTACATTCACATTGTTTTGCAACAGCTCTCCAGAACTTTTTCTAGAGAAACTGGAACTCTGTACCCATTAAATAACTCCTCATTTACCCTGCTCCCATAGCCCCTGGCAACCACCATTCTACTTTCTGTTTCTATGAACTTGACTACTTTAGATACCTCATTTAAATGGAATTATACAGTATTTGTCCTTTAGTGGCTGGATTATTTCACTTAGTATAATGTCTTCAAGGTTCATTCATGTAGCATGTGCCAGGACTTCCTTTTTTAAATTTTTATTCTCACTTAAAAAAAATTATCTTTATTGTTGAAAGTATTACAGATGTCGTCCCCTTTTTCCTCCCCATTGACCCCTTCAACTCCACTCTGGTCCCCTTCCCAGGCCTTGCCCAAATTATTGTCTGTCCATGGGCTATTCTTATATGCATATAAGTTTATTGGTTAATCTCTGCCCGCCCTCTACCCCTTCTGAAATACATCACTCTGTTGCATACTTCAATGTCTTAGGATCTTTTTAAAAAATATATATTTTATTGATTTTTTACAGAGAGGAAGAGAGAGGGATAGAGAGTTAGAAACATCGATGAGAGAGACACATTGATCAGCTGCCTCCTGCACACCACCCCCTACTGGGGATGTGCCTGCAACCAAGGTATATGCCATTGACCGGAATCGAGACTGGGACCCTTGAGTCCGCAGGCCGATGCTCTATCCACTGAGCCAGACCGGTTAGGGCAGGATCTTCTTTGTTCATCAGTTTATTTTATGTAAGAGGATATTATGAATAAACTAGATCATATGGGCAAATTCCTTGAAAAACAAAAATTAGATTCAGTATCTAAACCATTATTTGAAATTTATAGGTAGAACATTATTTGTTAAA